GCCATTTTACTAAAAAGTTTACTGAAACTGCTACATACAGAGGGCTCAAAAAATAACGTTTTCGTTATCCAAAGTTTAAGTAGCGTTAATGGGAAAAAAATTATATTTATAGAATATACATTGTTTTATTATAGCTGACGTTTTTTTAATACTAGTCCCAATATCCAGCGTTGTCTATTATAACCAAACATCTTTAATAGCAACTGAGAACTTAATTGTTCGCAAATTCCACAGAAAGCGACATCCACATATGTTAAAGTAGCCGAATGAAATCTTTTTTTGACGTTAAATGCTTTCTTGATATTTTGGCTTTCAATAAACCTCAAACATCCTCTTTGAATTGGCGTCTGGTGACGGTGTATGGCTTTCTTGTTCCGATTGAGTACAGAGTCCGCTCCAATGTTTCGGATCATTGTTTTTTTGCAGCATCCAATCATAGTTATTTTGCCTTTTTTGCCATTTCAGCTGACTTCAGTAAACGCTTTTTATACAATTTTATTCCAACGGCGTTCATGTTTTCTGTGTAGCACCCCAAATGACAGGAGCAGCGAAGCATCTATAAACATGCACCTTTTGGGAGTGCTTACCACTTCATTGAATAATGTATTTGTACTTTTCTTAACCAAAAGTTGTCGCATTTGTTAATATTACATTGCTCCAATCGCGGTGGAAGGATCCCTTTTTATACTCTCGCAACCTGTTGCTACAGAGTATAATAGTTTTGTACACCTAACGGTTGTTTGTATCACCTAAAACTAATCGAGTTAGATATAGGGTTATGTATATATAAACGATCAGGATGAAGAGACGAGTTGAAATCCGGGTGACTGTCTGTCCGTCCGTCCGTCCGTCCGTGCAAGCTCTAACTTGAGTAAAAATTGAGATATCTTTATGAAACTTGGTGGACATGTTTCTTGGTACCGTGAGACGGTTGGTATTGCAGATGGGCGTAATCGGACCACTGCCACGCCCACAAAACGCCATTAATCAAAAACAAATAACTTGTCATAACTAAGCTCCGCAATAAGATACAAGACCGTTATTTGGTACACAGGATCACATTAGGGAGGGGCATCTGCAGTTAAAACTTTTTTTTAAAAAGTGGGCGTGGTCCCGCCTCTGATAGGTTTAATGTGCATATCTCCTAAACCGCCAATGCTATAATAACAAAATTCACTAGAAGCAAATGCTTTTAGCACTTCTATTGACGGTGTGAAAATAGTTGAAATCGGGTGGCAACTCCGCCCACAGGTAACAATGATTATATCGGGGTAAAACTTTGCGTGAATAATGCAATTAAAGTATGCCACCTTGCGGCCAAAAATTGTCTAAATCGAACCAAAACTGTTCAAACCCCTAAGTACTAAATATGTGGACCCCAGTGCCTATAGTTGACCTTCTACCGAAAATATCAGTCAATCCACAAAGAAATCTCAAACGAGTATACCATTTGACTTTGCGAGAGTATAAAATGTTCGGTTATATCCGAACTTAGCCCTTCCTTACTTGTTTTAAAGTGTGTTTTTGAAAGTAGGGGTTTGATTACAGTACTGCTACGTTTGATGTCAGATATTTGAAGGTTGTCCCGTATGTTATTTAGAGATATATTTAATCCTTTTAAAATAAATGTTTAGCTTCTCTTAGACAATAGCTTTGTTCTCACTTTTAGATGTCACGTGATTCTTGTCTCTTCCTTGCTTGTCATCTACGTTTCCAATAATGGTCACACCACCTTTACATAAATCTACAACTCGTATTTGAATACTTTTCAGTTTTTTAAAAATCCATTTAAGACCATTAGAATGCTTCGTGAAAATGCCTGCTTCAAAACGTTTCTCATACGGGCACATTGTGTATATCGTGACACATTAATAATATAGATACATTTTTAATTAGCGTTAGTGATCGCAATTAAATATGTTAATTTGAAAAAAAAAAAACTTTCCGCGAATTGATCGCGCAAAGGAAAAAGATATTTTTTGACTGCACTGTTTATTTCCCGTAGGAGTGCTTTTGTTGTATTCTAAGCGCTGATGCAGTTTTTTTTCAAAACTTTGGCCATAACAAATGTGGGTCTGACTAAGAATAAAACTATTCTAAGTAATTGACTAGCGTCAAATCACTACAAATACTGCAGGCTGTAGTTAGTATAGATCAGTTACTTAAATAATTGGAGTCCCGTTCGGGTTACGTGAAATTTAACATAAGGCTTTTATTTTTGTTAAAACGGATGGAAAATGTTAATTAACACAAGGCCCCTATCAACCTAAGAAGAGATTATTTTAGATGCCCACCCTAAAGCTATAAATTTAACAAATACACACAAAATATGAAATGATGAAATCTTGATGATAACAGAAATCATGCTAAATCGCTTAATTTACAGACATATTGTACATACTTACTTATATATGTAGATCTGTACATACTTGTATAACGCACATAAATTTGTTTAAGATATTACTAACATATGTCTGTATGTATAAAGACCGTTTTTATCGGTTTGTTTTAAGTTTCGGCATTATGTCATCCACAAGCGCTACCTTCTTATCAAATAACATATGAATTTATGTTTATGTATTTATGAAATTTTTGTATCAAATTAAACTTCGTAAGTTGTCCTTCAAAACGTTTGTTGACTTTTAATGCTTAACCGGTAAAAATTTGCTGATATAATTTGTAGGCACACTAAACGTCTTTTATAGGGCCATATACAGCATATAAATATACATAAGTGTGTATATAGGCTTATAATATTTCAATGTTTTGTTATAAAATCCGCAAATTTTTGTATCGGTTAATGAACTTTGTTATGAGCAAGTTTGTTTTCGAAATCAAAATTTAACTGTTTTATATGAAATTTGAACTTTGGAAGGAGCTTATATATACATATTTAGACAGTAGGGTTGATCGCGTTTTTCACAAAAAGAGAAAAACAAACAAGAAAGGAACTATTAGTCGACTGATCGTTAGTGAGTCGGATATACATACGTTATAGGAACTGACCATATAACCAGCTATGAGTTCTTATTTCGGCAGCTTTCCTTAAAAAATTTTGCGAAATGTGCTTATACGTCATAACAGCAACTCTACTTTTGGCATCAGATAAGTTTATGCTATGGCTAGGATGCTAACCGATTTTCAGCAAGATATCGTCACGAATATCCGAATATTTATTTTAAAATCAAATGGATTGTTAGAAATCAGTCTATACGATATATGGATCGAGTTCCTCCAGTTCAAGTTAAAAATATCAATCACCAAGTATTTATCTTGGCTTAAAACAGTTATAAAAAGAAACCTCTTAGAAAAATATGTATGGTCACCTTAGTCGAATGAGATATCTGTTTCTGTTGATATGTACGGAATAATGACAATCAAAGCGATACACACCAATATCTATATTTAGTATACGAATTCCAACAAAAAGTGCGATCCGATTTCATTCAGCTTTGGTACGAAGTGATGGTACCAAACCTATAAAATTGTGTTAATATATCTCTATCTATTTTGGTCTCTAAGTTTGCAGCATACTTATTAGAAAGATATAGATTTGATATATATATTTGCATAATCTTACCGAAAAGTAATTTTTACATAGTCCACCTTTAAATAGTTGATAAGCACACAACAAAAGTTTAATGTTTGGTTTTTACGAACAAATTCTTGGAAAACCCATATAATTGGCACCAAAATGGTGGTTGAGAGTTGATTTCATAGTTTTTTCGCCTTACTTGAAATTGTCTTTTGTTGAACTTAAACATGAGTCGTAGTTTTTGGTTCCTTTCTTACAACTTACTTTATTCACATAATTAACAATGTAACAATCTGATAAAGAGGCCATTCATAAGTAACAAGAAACTAACAAGCCAACATGACAAGGGTTAATTTCAATCATTGTGTGGAAAGTGAGCAACAGGGGCTACAATCTATCAATGAAAAGAAATAACTCTATGTATAAGTTTGTTTGCATTTAAAAATATTGTATGTTAAGGATCTTTTGTCTATTTCATGGTTCATGGCATCTAATTAAATGTATTCAATGTAAAATTCCATAGTAATTAACATTTTTGTATTTTAAAACACAGTGGGAACTCGATAACTAAATTTATTTATCAATATTTGAGAGAAATGACAATTCTTTTGCAAGGATCGTGCTAAAAACATTCATATCGGTCAGGTCCAGTAAACAAACTCGCCTTTTTCACACAAATGCCGTGTTAAAGCTTAAGCTCCTGCTATAGTGCTGTCCACAGCAAACTTTTTACCAAACACATTTTCTCTAACAACGAACGATATTACAATATTATGCAATACTGGTATAGAACCTCAGTCCCCAAAACTTTTTTCACAATATATATGTGTAAATAGCTTTCTAGTAGCTGTGGTTTTTTATTCCCTCTTAAATATCTTGGTAGGATATAAGCCGTACGTTATTTGTAACGCTCTGAACATTTCTAGTTCTTCCATGAAATAGTTTACCATATTCATACTCATATTTTTATGGTTTTTTTCTCGACTACGGAGCAATGCTTAATCCGTACCATTATTTAACGTGAAAATTCAGATTTTTTCAAACCTTTCAGAAAGACTGCTTTCGTCCTTAAAATTTTTCCCGCTCAATACTAATAACTGATTAGAAAGTGTTTCTATTAGTTTTTCCAAGACTGTATATACAATATCGGAATAACAGGAGGGCATAAAATAAAGTGCTAAGATGCTTATCTCCATAAAATATTTGAATGAATACATTTGGTTAGTACTGGAGTATTCGTTAGGTCAAATGACAACATATTTCCTCTCCTCATTCTGAACATTTACAAGTATATATAGATACTACTCCTTCGATATACTTCAGTAATACTTGTTTTGGATATTGGTACAAACTCTCATAATGAAAATATTATATTCCATTTCCAATAATTTTTTTTACATATTTGTGTTTTTCTTATCGTGAACTTCACATGAGAAAAGTCTAAAAAAATAAAACAAAATTTTCCGTTTCCTTTCGGGTTTTACGAACATCGTGCAAACTTAACATACTCTATTCAGGGTACAATTATTTAATATGACTTTCTATAAAAAAAAATCTCCATTTTATCGTCTGGTCACTTTGTACAATTTCATTTCGCAACTAAACACATGCTAAACAATAAGCTGGTCACCCTAATAAGCGCTGTGATACAAAGCGAACAGCTGATAGTTTGGTTAGCTTTGTTGTTCATGTGTTTGCTTTCACGTATTTTTATGTTGCTGGCACAGGTTTCAGCGTTTTCTCGGTATTAATTTTTAGTGAAAACGTTATTTAATATCCAAAGTCAAAAAAGACAGTGAATTATGTTACGCAAAGTGCCACTAATTGTGATATTGGGCTCAACCGGTACTGGGAAAACAAAGTTGTCGCTGGAATTGGCAGAGCGATTCGGCGGCGAAATAATCAGCGCTGACTCAATGCAGGTATGTTAAACGCCAGTGCTTGTGCGACAGGGCTGTTATATTTAATATTATTTACTCTTCTATAAGGTAGAGGATAACAATGGTGGTAGTAGGTCAAATTTTATGAATGAAACTTACCAAATTTAAAAATTTTTTTAAAGAATTTTCTATATTAACCGTCGACTTTGTTATTATATGTATTATACATTCTTCGAGTTTTAAGAACATACTGAATAAATTTAAGTTATTCATTTAATACGTTTTTTGTAGAATTGTAACTACTGTCTGCGTAATAAGCACCTAAAATACAAGTTATTGAAAATTCTAGCAGGAATAAAATTTAAATGTACTAGGCGCCCTCCGCTGCGTTCCGGGACGCTCGCTTCGCTCGCTCGCCTACGTCCGCCCCCGCCGAGCGCGAGCTAGCTCGCTCTTATGTTAGTTGATTCTCGACAGCAGCAGAAAACTTTTATATATAATAGAGAGATGATCCAATATCCAAAACATAAAAATAGCCAAGAAAGTTTGTAACGTATGTTCATGTTGAATTGATACTTAGAACTGTCTATTCTTGATATAACCTAGTTTCATAGGATATCACAGCAAGCAGCATTAAACAGGGTATGGTCAGTTCCGTTCACACGACAGTCGGGTCTACGTAACCGGAATGGACCCGGATTTTATCCGGCCAAGGACTGTCAACTCGGCAGAATTCTGTCGCTACAACAACAACAACAGGGTATGATCAGTTCGATTAACGATTAAAATATAGTGGGGATTTACACATTTTCGTATGTTTTTTAGTTCAAGGATTCGAAAATGAGAAAACCTTCTAGCAAGTTTACGAAAACGTTTCGCCCCAGACCAAAAATATAATTTTTAGTGTTGAAAAAGTTCCCGCTACCTATACATGTCGGTATTGATTTCTTGGCCAGCATGATTTCTTTGCCTGGGTACTATATTCTTATGCTCTATGTAATATGAAACTAACATAATATTTGATCACATTTACAATATTAATCACTTAATTGTACTGTGTTTATTTTCCTTCTAAATTTTTCTTAAAGTTTTATCAATTTGTTTACCGGTATGTTCACCGGCATACCATTTATATTCGATTTTAAATTAAAATATACTACCATATATATAAACTACATATCTATTAAGCATATAGGCTAGTATAGAGCATTATGTAATTTTGAAGGAAGGAATCGAATTTAAATTTTTTAAGGCTTTATTTTAGTATATGGTATAAAATTTGTATTTGAGTATATGGTATAAAAGATTATATTGCAATATTTATATGAAATGGCGGGTTCTTAAAGAGGTACTCTTTGGGTAACGGTGATTCTAGGCACTCGTGGTATCAGAAACAAAAAAGACGGCAGAATCGTAATATATGTAGGGATATATGTAGGTGGTTTGTTTTCGTTACGGATCTAAAATTTTTAGCTCAGCAAATTAGTGGAAAAACAAAACGGGAATTCGAAAAAAATTCGGAATCCCTCTCGGATATTAACTACTGATTTTTAAATAGTTCAATCTTAGTGATAAATTGATATTTGGTCAAACAAATTGCTTTTTAACAAAGAGATGGGAATATCTAGTGACTTTCACATAGGGAGGTTACTTTTTTAACATACGTAGCAAGAATTTTAATTAGAAATGCTGCAGCATCTCACAACCGATTCTACTAGTCCCTTCGAAAAATTTGCAAATTCGCATACAATTTTATATAAAAAATTTAATTTATGCGCAACATTAAAACCGACATTGATTTCTCGGCCACTCGGCCTCTAAAGACATTTCGAATATGTATTCATTGCTAGGCCGATAAGCGACAAAAAGCTACTAGCCATCTAAGTGAAAAGGATTTAACAGTTGCAAAAATAATCTCGCCAATGATAATATACATACAATACATACATACTCGTATGTACATAAATAGATGTATTTATGTCTATATATACCATATACGCATGCAATGATCAAAGTGGACAAGCCAATTAAAATGGCTTCGAAACACGAGAAATTTATTAAAAAAATCTCTCGCTTTAATTTTTTATATTTTAATTGTACGCATATATCTACGTATATAGGTATGCATTTCTATTAGTAAGTTTGACGACCAGATAAAAGCGTTTTAAAAAGAAACGCAAAAAAGCGAAATTGAAGTTTAGCAAATATGTATAGACAATCAAAAATTTAGAGTAGTAAAACCGGCTTAAACTTGCCAGAATTTATGCTAATTTCGCCACTATAATTATGAACATTTTTACTTAATTAAACTCGAAGGAGTTTTGTGGAGCGCTAGTAACAGGTGGCATCAGGTTCTTTTCGGTTTTTATGTCCCATCAATATTTTAGAGGCATGTATGTGATATATGCTGTACATCTTGCTAGTACAACTTCATATACATATTTACCAATCTAAATCAACAAGTATTCGAAAGTAGTCAAAATGCAGCAACGATTAATTCATCGAAGCTTATACATACATACATATGTCGCTCACTGCTGATTTGATCATCTTTGGTTGGGGCTAGTCCATGCAAACCATACACGAAAATAAGAAAGGTAAACTTGTTCTTCAAGTGCAAATATTTTGTAGGTAATGACTGTAATTTCGAAATAGCGAAGAAATTTTGTTCGATAATTGTTATAGATCTACGAATGATTACAGTTTTTTGTAAAAACAACTTCAAATACGAGTTGCAGAATAATAATTATTAACGAAATTCATATATCCTCTCCGAAAAATGCGTCGAATAAGGTTTAAAAAAAAAATTCGATAAATAAATCGAAAATGTCCAAGGCTCATGTTTAGAACAATCGTATGTAAATTTGTACGCATGTCTAATATAATTTTTCAGTAATGTGTGCAGAATATGCCAGCTGGACTGTGCTTCTAATTGTCCCCACATATGTATATACACATACATATGTACGTATACCCATGATATGACCAATGACATGATTTTTAAGTCAAATTATAAGACATTATTATTTCTTCGAAAACCTAGACAGCTCGTTTAATTTTTTTACATATTTCTTAAAAGTTTATAATAAGATATTATCGCTTTTAATTCAAAAAAAATTATCTTCATACTGACACTTTTATAATATTTTATCGCTTTTAATAAAAAAAAAATATCTTCGTACTGACACTTTACATCTGCTTCTGCAGATACGGATATCTTCGAATGAAATAAACATTTTTCGTGATAACTTCACTTGAAAAGGAAAATTAAATATAAATAATAGAAATTTCATGCAGCAGAATTCAGAATTAAAAATCTTATGAAAAATTATTTTTACCTTTTTTAAGACTATATGATTAAGGTTAATGTCCTAATTGTTCTGTCAGAGCTCTGGAATTGAGCCTAATTGGAAAAATGCTTCGATAAGTTTCTCAGTAGTAGTCTCGCGCTGACGCAACAGTATCTTTTGACCACAACAAAAAAACTAACACAAAACTGAATCCTTGCTACCGGACTGGAAAAGTATCAGCGCTCCTTGTCAGATCTGTGAATAGAAGATTTGTGTTCCAGTTTTCTGATCGAAGGATCATTCGAATGATCATTTGACTTTTATCCATATTAGTAATAAGCATTGTACTTTATTTATTACACTTTCCGAATTAATAAATGCTACACCAGTATTTAATAGAGCTTTCAGGGGTTACATTGGTTTCGTCGAGCAAAAAACGCCATTTTTTCAATAATTTTTTATTTCATACAAAAAATTAAATATTTCATTCAAACTATTTATTAATCGAAGATACATATTTGATAAAGATTTTCTCAAATTTTGAAAGGAAAATATTCAAAACTCGGTCATTACGACGTCCCTCTAAAAAAAGGTGATTCCGCGTTCACAGCAAAACTTCTGACAGGAGCATCAATAGTAAAAAGAAAAAATTAAAGTTAAAATTGTATTTTTGACAAACGTTACAAAAACCGCAAATTTTGGTAAAATTTTCTAGACCTTTACGCGTTTAAAGTTTTAAGTGACTATATACCTGACCTCGAGCGCGCAACTTTTCAAAGTTGTACCTCCGAAACTATTACTGGAATCAACTTAAGACTTTGGGTCAACAATCTAGAGATGTTATAGAATTAAATAAGACAAAAAAAATTTTTTTTTTTTTTGCTTTTGAAGCCGTGAAATCTATGTAACCTCTTAAATCTCTTATTTAATTTACATATATTATAAATTATTTATATAAGTAGGAGCTTATACATATATATTTGTATGTATGTAGGTACATTTTAATTAAAATGTGCCTTTTGTTCTTATTTTCTTCTAATTTATGTGTGTGAATAACTGGTTTATCGTATAAATTCTTTTGATTAAAAAATTTCGCCTGCATTGGAATAAAAAAAAAACTCGATTCAAACCAGAAGTTATTTGGGAATTTGCGAGGTTTTATCTTTGACTTGAAATGTTTATTCTAATTGTCACACAATCTAATAAAGAAATAAATTGAACAAACAAAAGCATTCAAACAGCAAACACGGAAGTGTTTTTTATGGAGATATTGTCTGAAGATCCAGTTAAACCTAACATAAATTAAAGAAACACGCATGCTGCATTTAGGTTTGTTTTTATAAGTATGTACTAGTTGAAGATGATCTTATTTGAGAATTTCGCAATTAAATTTTACTTTTATGCATACCAGATCGAGTTCCGCAATGAAATCGATCAAACTAGTCGAATTGATTGCATTTAACAATTTCAAACATGTCTTTATTAGTCTTAAATGCATATGTATACATACCTATATAAAGTTCGTCTGTATAATGTATTTGAGCGTAATCTGTCCAAATTATTTCAATTATACTTGCGTATCAAATTCGATATGCTTTTAATTCATTAACGTATTTTATGATAGAATACAAATCCAAACAATCCTTGAAAATGTTCGCCCAAACAAGTTTTGAAACGAAAATATGTTTGCTGTGTATACATATAGATTAGTGTTCTTTCACTATTTTTTAAATTTACTACACCTTCAAACAAATTTACTTATAACTGAAATCATTTTTAACAGAGTTGCCATATTGTAAAATTTGCATTTCAGTAAAATTGATAAGATAAAAGTTTAAAATAAAGATATTCCTGTTAAAGATTTTTTTGAGAAGAGTTGCCACGAACTTTCCTATTATGTGGTAGGTATATCCAATATATGCATTTCTAATCCTACAAGTATATTTTATTGAAACATCTTAGTTCGAAGCCATCACTAAAAGCTTGACAACAAATCAAACACTAGAAATAAAATACTAAAAAGACTTCAAAAATTTAAATGGAAGCCAAGAGAAAAGAGAAAACTACATGAAATTATTAGAGTGCAGCGCTTTAAAAAATCAACTAATCCTCTAATGTCATAGTATTAATGAATATACCCCATACTACCTGACGGCATTTATAGACGGTCGAAACGAACATGCAACCAGTATTCACAAAATGCATTGGAATATCTTTCAAAATGTTATATAATAGTTTAAATTATATTACTCTCTGTTTTATGTACAGCATTTTGAATTTCTTGTACCCTTCTAATAAATTTATGCAAGAAAAAAATTCAGCAAATTATTATGTAAAATAACAGATTTTCAGCAAAGCAACCTTTATTTACGCATATCTTTCTTAATTTTTAGGTTTATGCCAATCTGGACATTGCTACCGCAAAGGCTACCAAAGAGGAACAGTCTCGAGCTAAGCATCATCTATTGGATGTAGCGACACCAAATGAACCGTTTACTGTGGTCAGTTTTCGTAATGCCGCTTTACCAATTGTATCCTTTTCATACTAAACTAATATCTATATTGAGTATTCTCCTATGTATCAAAGAGTAAGTACGAGAAGTTATAAACATGATATTGCAATCAAAATTCCTAAATAATTATATTCGACGAACTTGAACGTAGATAAATTGTGTATATATTTTCATATTAGTATCATAAGAGTAAATATTGTAAATTTTAATTATTTTATAATTTTTGAAATGTCGACAGTGAGCAAAAATATTGTAGGAGTAAGGACTTGGTAAAATATATGTGGCATCGATTGTTAAGGATACATATGTACATATATCACAGAAAATATTATATTTCTTCAATATTTTGCTATTGTTTTAAAGAAATTTTAGAGTATATATATGAATAAGTTCGAAAGTTGTGATTACTGTCATTTGGTTGAATGACATATTTTACTATGTCGATGCCAAATTTTAATAATTTTGTTTCTGCTTTCGTATCCAGAACGAAATTGAATTAATCCGATTGAAATAGGTGAAAGCGACTAAAGCTTTATCGATAGCTAAATCGATAGCCTGTCAGTGTTTGTTGGTAGAATATTCTTTTCGATATAAATATATTGATGTCTGATGTAATATCGTCGATATTCAAGAGGCGAGCACGAAAGCTACGCTTTCGGCTACACAGTCTTACCGGAGACTTTCTTGTACCACGGGGAGTAGAAAGCCCTTAGACTTCGGTCCAATCTACTCATTGGGTTATGGTCCCTTTGTGGAGATTCGTGGTGGCTGTGGCTGCAACCTAAATGCAGGAAGAACTGAAAATTCAGCCTAACTGTTTTTTCAGTTCTAAAAAGAAGTTGCAAAAAGCAACTGGGTTCCATACCCGAAAACGGAAGAGGTTTTAGGTCGGCCTCGAATCTTACCAAGATGGTTGTGTGGACCCAGACACACTGCCACTGGTATTCAAATAAATACTTGCAAATAGTTCGTATTGTTTGGGGCGCTTATCAACGCATTGTATTGATACGTTGTGTTTTGGAACACCGTGAGGTAAGGCCGTCGCCGGCAGGTACTCATGTAAATCTAGAACGAACGTCCGTTTGTCTGTCTGTATATATGTGAACTAGTCCCTCAGTTTTTGAAAGATCTATATGTAATTTTGCACATGACCTTTTTCTCCTAGCTGTTCATTTGTCGGAACCGCCGATATCGGACCACTGTAGCATATGTGTACATAGTTGCCATACAAACTGAACGATCGGAATCAAGTCTTGTATGGAAAACTTTTTCATTTGAATAGATATCTTCACAAAATTTGACATATTGTAGAATATTGTCTACGGCAATGGTGTAATCTCCGAATAAATTATTCAGATCGGACAACTGTAGCATATAGCTTCCATACAAACTGATCGATCGAAGTCAAGTTCCTGTAAGAAATCTTTTTTTTATGTGAAGGGTATTATAGCTTCGGTGCAACCGAAGTTGACGTTTTTTTTGTTCTTGTTTATTTAACAAATTTTCTTCGCGAAATTTGCCAGGGGCATTATCCAAGGCAACCTATTTAGCATATTGCTGCCACTCAAACTGACCGATTATAATCGAAATAAAGATTTGTTTATACCCTTTTATGCTAAAAGAAATGTACCTGTGAAGGGTTATAGCTTCGATGCAGCTGAAGTATGTTAAACATTTTCTCTTCTTGATATGTATATTCTTTTCGAAAACTAAATCTTTTTATTAATATACAATTTTTTTTAAAGTTATTTCCATATTTCGCCATTTTTAATAGATATACATAATTTAATTATAATTTAAAGAAAAATAAATCCTTGAATTTTGTATGAATTTTCCTAAAACCATTTATTTATTAAAAAACATCATAAGTATGTGGGTTTGTACATTCGCCTATAAATTCCGAAATATTTGATTACCGTTACGACTTTTCAATTGAAAACATTGAAATATTTATTTTAATGGAATTGCAAAATTAAAGCACTTAAAGATCACTACAAGTACGGAATATGGATATTTAATAATCATAAAAATTATTTTAAAATGCTATTAGAATGCTACATATCAAGAACGTGTTTTTTTCAAACCCTGTCATTCTGGTCTGGCTAGCAATTTTTTCGTAATCTCTGCGGAATTCGTTGTCCCAGTTTTCCCAACAAGTAAGCAGTGTATTTAAATCTTCAAGCATTAATCTACACGTAACAAGAACAACTTTTGCTGTTGGAAAATCTAAAAATAATGGGTTGCCACAGTTGAAAATTATTAATGTCACACACTAATCCACGCACATCAAGACAACGATGAAACGGTGAAGTTGTACGACGTAGCGACAGACAGCAGCAGTCATGCTATTCCCATCGTGTGACAAATGTTGTCATGTGTGAATATAAATAAACAAAAAAAAATGCCACCAGAAGATCTGCCGGATTGTCACAATATTATACAAGTATATGTATGCTTTGGGTGTCCTCACATCAAGTTGCCGGAGATGACAATCATACTTATTTACATACATGTACGTATAGGGTGGTCCAATCTTACAAATGGCTTCGTTATTTTAACTTTAAGGGCCTGACTTTTCAAAGGATTATTTGCATTGTCTTTCCATGAAAAATCTAATGATCTCGTAGGTATAGTTTCCAAATGACCAATAATTATGATCGAGATGACGATTAGTGTACTTTGCGCGCCATCCAACTGAAACAAAAGCTTCTCTTCCCCAAACAAAAAATCGTGGCTTATGGCTCTATAACGCCTACTGTCTACTGAAATGGCGTGTAAGAGGCAAATCTAGTATGACAGCCTAAAAATGGTGATGGGAATAAAAGAAATATTACTCCATCAATTAATTTTAAGAGTATATTTATATACAGCAACATTTTTAAAGAAAAATTTTTTATATTTTTCGATTTATACGCGATCACCGACAGCACTAAAAAAAGGTCCCCCACTGCTGCAGTTCCGGCCTTCTTTAGATAAAATCTATAATTGAAAGAAAATAGAAAATTTAAAAATGGCGGAGTTTAAAAAAAGTTGGATTTTACCCAAAATGTTGGTCTTTTTTAATTTGCCAAAATTCGATTTTTGATCAGATTGCATGACTTGTAGGTCATTGCATGGATATATAATATATACAGAACAGAACAAATTTTATAGTAATCGAATCAAACCATCAAAAAAAACTGTCGGTTTTTGAGGTTCCCCAGATGCTTTTTAATATAGTCGTTGATCTTTTCCACACAAATAATGGCTGAGCTATGTATATCTGGAACTTTGGTTTTAGAAATCATTTTTAACTATTTTCTGATATTTCAGTTTTTTCTATGAAAAAGTACATTCAGTGAAAGATTTTAGCGGGAAAAAACTGTCAAACTTAAATTAAAAAATATATGCAATATGTGGACCACCCTTTATGTAGAGTAAAGCACGATCACTGCAGTAATAGTTTTGAAGCATTTTCGTCGCTCATCAACCTAATATTTAGGATATTATGGCGCTGACTTTGTCAGCAGATATTTAGTAAGCAATATTTTATTCTTAAATATTTATAAAAAATACAACAACAGTTATGAGCTAAAGCTGTTGATATTAGTATCAAATCAAAGCAGTTTTTTAAGAAAACCAAAAAAGCAAAAAAAAACATGCATAGTATTCTTTGCGGCAATTAAAAGAGACGCTGACTAGATGGACGCCAGAATAGGCGATGTTGCTGGCGACTGCATTTTTAATGTGGGCGTTGCGGAGCTGCTTTGTATACGATATAGCAAGTAGTTCGTTAGTAATGAGTATTACACATATGTATGTATGAGTATATTTCTATATTTTAGCCTATATTGGCTTTGGAAAAATTATTTCCGATTTTACATGAATTTTTATACTCTCGCAACTTGTTGCTACAGAGTATAATAGTTTTGTTCACCTAACGGTTGTTTGTATCACCTAAAACTAATCGAGTCAAATATAGGGTTATATATACATATATACAAGTAAATGATCAGGATGAAGAGACGAGTTGAAATCCGGGTGACTGTCTGTCCGTCCGTCCTTCTGTCCGTCTGTCCGTCCGTCCATGCAAGCTGTAGCTTGAGTAAAAATTGAGACGGTTGGTATTGCAGATGGGCGTAATGGACCACTGCCACGCCCACAAAACGCCATTAATCAAAAACAAATAAATTGCCATAACTAAGCTCCGCAATAAGATACAAGACTGTTATTTGGTACAAAAGATTACATTAGGGAGAGGCATATGCAGTTAAATTTTTTTTAAAAAGTGAGCGTGGTCCCGCTCCTAATAAGTTTAATGTGCATATCTCCTAAACCGCTAAAGCTATAATAACCAAATTCACTGGGAGCAAATGCACCTCTATTGAAAATAGTTGAAATCGGGTGGCAACTCCGTCCACTCCCCATATAACGGTACTGTTAAAAAATACTAAAAGCGCGATAAACCAAGCACTCAACACGCCAGAGACATTAAATTTTATCTCTGGGATGGTATGAGATGACTTTATAGGCACCGCGTTCAAAATTAGCCAGTGGGTGCCCACTTTTAGGTCAAAACCCATATCTTGGGATCTGCTTAAGCGATTTCAACCAAATTCGGTGCAATTTGGTGATTTCAACCAAATGGGCGAAATCGGTCTACAACCACGCCTATTTCCCATATAACACCATTTTCAATTCTATCTGATTCTTTCACTTTCCACTATGCATATCAAGCAACAATGATTATATCGTGGTAAAACTTTGCGTGAATAATACGTTTAAAGTATGCCACCTTGTGACCAAAAATTGTCTAAATCGAACCAAAACTGTTCAAGCCCCTAAGGACTAAATATGTGGACCCCAGTGCCTATAGTTAACCTTCTACCGAAAATATTAGTCAATCCACAAAGAAATCTGAAACGAGTATACCATTTCACTTTGCGAGAATCTAAAATGTTCGGTTACATCCGAACTTAGCCCTTCCTTACTTGTTTGTAATAATTTTCTTGTAGAACGAGGGTATTGACCTAGGTGTA